TGCAGGCCTTTTCCGGGACGGACTCAGCACCTCCACGGTGCCTCGCGAAGCCAAAATCAATCATTGGAAACGTTTCCGAGATAATTCAAAATCGAATGCAGACAAGGAAATGGGAGGATTCCTGAGGCCACGCTGGCGGCGGGGCAGGTGTTCAGAGCTGCGAACGAGGAGGACACGGATCCGGAGGAAGAGGGCGGGCCGGAGAGTGAATGGAACTCAAGGTCTAATAGATGCGGGGGAGGCACGCACATCCTGTGGGGGAGGGGTCTCCCAGCTCCAGCCTCGGGGCCTCCGGTGAGCACTGCGAGCTGGTGGTCCGGATCCGGTCCCTCAGGCCACAGGTAAAGTGAGGCCGTGAGGTCATGACCCGAGCTGAACTGAAATGGCCACGGGGTGAAGCACGGCTCGAGGGAGAAGTGGGCTCCGGGGCAGTGGGGTCCGGAACACACACCAGAGAGTGTGCTCCGAAGCCGGCACAGGCAAAGGACACGGGAGACCAGGTGAAGGAAGTGCCAGTGGCCCAAAGCGGGACAAGAAACAAGCATGGTGGCATGGTGACAGGCAGGCGCCCTCGTCCACGCCGGCAGCAAACAGGTGGGAGGAATATACGGGTCTGCGAGTTGCGGGTCCCCGTCAGGCACACGCGGGACCCACGGACGCCACAGAGTGAGCGTGGGGGGCAGCCCCAACTCCCCCCCCCCCCCCCCCCCCACGGTGGTCGCAGAGACCAAGGTGTCGTGAAGACGCCTTGCAGCCGGGGTGAACGCCCACACGGGCCGTCTGCCTGCGAGGTCGGCCGCCAGCACACCCCGGGGAAAGGGCCGTGTGTCCAGCAGACCGCGCCGGCAGGACTCGCCCCGGGCCGCCGTGGACAACGTGACGCAGGGGGCCTGACTGGCTCTGGGTGAAGCCTGCGACTGTCTCAGGGTTGTGAGTTCGAGCCCCACGCCGGGTGTAGAGATGATTTAAAGATAAGATCTTAAATCTCGGGGCGCCTGGGTGGCGCAGCCGGTTAAGCGTCCGACTTCAGCCAGGTCATGATCTCGCGCTCCGTGAGTTCGAGCCCCGCGTCGGGCTCTGGGCTGATGGCTCAGAGCCTGGAGCCTGTTTCCGATTCTGTGTCTCCCTCTCTCTCTGCCTGCCCCTCCCCTGTTCATGCTCTGTCTCTCTCTGTCCCAAAAATAAATAAAAACGTTGAAAAAAAAATTTTTAAATAAAGATCTTAAATCTCAACAATGGATTTAGGACCAGAAACCAGAAGCCAGACAAAAACAGGCCGTGAGCTCCCTGACATTGGTCTTGGCGACAGGTTTTTGGATTTGACACCATTCGCAAAAGCAACAGAAGCAAAAATAAACCAGTGGGGCTGCACTAAAAACCTTGTGCACACCGACGGGAGCCACCAACACGGAGCAGAAACCAAGTACACGGGAGCCAAGATCTGTGACGCGGAACCGACACTCTAAGTAACACCAGTCGGGTTAGATAGAAAACACGACGGGTTATTTCTCCGAAGAAGACATCTGGGCACGCGAGATGCTCAACGTCACCCCCTGCACGTGTGCGAGGCTCCCAGTCTCCGGGCGACGTCTGGGCCCAGGGGCGGAGCCCGCGAGAAGCGTCAGTGGTGCCCCGAGGGTGTCGGGAAAAGGCCGCAGAGCCTAAGAGGTTCATCCGCAGCCTGGGAAGGTCTGTCCCCACCGAGCACACCTGCAAAGCCCACTCTGAACGGACTGGTCTCCAGTGACTTACCAGACACTCTGGTTATCAGAGGAATCCCAGGTTTGTTGCTCACGACGTCCTCAACTGCGCGGGGGTCGAGGTCGACAGCAGTTGTCCTAGCCCAGCGCTGGCATCCTGGCGGCTGGCAGGCCCGTGTTCCGGGGACCGTGCTGCATGAAGCAGGACAGGAAGGACAGGCCAGGTGATCCTGGATGGCGGCCACCCAGCCTCCCACCCGCTGGGGCCGCTGCCCGCCCTGGACACTGAATGGTGGGACCCCACCTTTGCGCACACCCCAAGTAGAGGGATGCACTGTCAGATGAGGTGCCGACGACTCCAACAAGCCCCGGGCCCAGATGACCCCTCCGCACGTTCTCCTGCCGGGGAGTCCCTTCTCTCAGGGCCACAGCTCCTAGGTCAAGGCCACGCTCGGGTGTGAAAGCTCCCTGTGTGCTGCGCTCACCCGCCGTCACCAGCCCTGCGGGGGTGCGGGGTGGGCCCAGGGGCAGTGCGCACACGCCTGAGCCCGCCACCTGTGACCGCGTGCCGCAGGGTGGCCACCTGTCCCCTGCCGCCAATTCGCAGGGCCCGTGTGCAGCAAGGACCTAGAAAGAAGGGGCCGCCACCATCAGGGTGAGCGCCCACGCGTCATGCCCCACTCCTCCCTGAGACAGCCCTGGGTGTGTGTGTGGGGGGCGGGGGGCTGCCCCACCCGTACTTGGCCCCGAGCACCAGCCGCGTGGAGACCCCTCACGGGGCACAAGTACTGCCTTCTCTGCGCCGGACACCGAAGGACCGGGGTCCCGGTCAGGTATCCCACCGGCTCATACGAGACTTTCCCGGAGGCGCTCCACTCTCCCGGCAGAGCACCCGAGCCCTGTCCTAACGGAAGTGCGCGTTCCATCCCCGCTCGACATCCCCGACACGATCCCAGGGCCAAGCCCCGCCTCAGACCTGGGTTCCGTGCAGAGCGGCGTCCTCCGGACAACAGACACCTGCTGTCCCTTCTCCTGCAGAGCCAGGGAGCTGCTCACTCGGGGCTCCCACTGCTCTGACCCCGTCCCGGACACTCCCCCGGAGAGGCCAATGGCTGCGGGTCCGTGGACACAGCACACGTTTGGAAGAAAAAAGCCCAGGTGCCAATTCTGACATTCGTCTCGACCCCCTTAAGCAAGACTTGCAGACATTTCCTCCTCAAAGCAACGTAGCAACAGAGCCCGGGTTGGCCTGGTCAGAGCGGTCCGCTCGCACTGACCAGGGATGCTCTGGGGACGGGCCTCTGGTTCGGAGAGGTGGGGCCGCTCAGCTCCTCAGGACAGCAGGTGGAAACGTGGCATTTGTCGTGCTGTCCCGTCACCAGTGCCAGTGATCTGCAGACACAGGACAACCAGGCTGAGTCTCACACTGACTTTCAGAAGCTCCATTTCTCACGAATAAAGATTATCCATCCCGACCCAGGTCACTGGCCTGCGTAGAGCACGAAAACTTCTAGGAAAACAGCAGCACGGGACCCTAAGAATGAAAACAATTCACACAACTGACTTTGAGGAACAGAGACAATTTCTGGATTTGTAAACGAGAAAAGGGGAACGTTTTAGAAAATACGTATTTCATGAAGAACATAAATGAGCGAAATAGATGAAGTCTGAAAACTAGGGATCTTCCCTCGTCGGGGGGGGGGACAAAAGGCTCACCTGGAAATGCACGTCGAGGAGGAAGCAGTGCAGGGGAGACATGCCCGCCTCTCGAGCGTGCATCCCGCACAGGTCCCAGCTCCTGAGAGCAAGCGGGGAACCCCGGAGTCGCAGAGGGCGCCACCGGGGTCCGCGCCCCGGTGTTTCCCCTCTGCTGGGTCCCCCGCGACGCAGAGGCTCAATTTCTACTCAATGGGGAAAGCCGTCTGAACACACAATGCAAATCCAGTTAAACATTTAAAATTTATTAAACTTTTTGGTCAAAATAGTTGAACAAATATATACAATTCTGTTAGAACTGCTTTTTTTTGCGAAGGACCGCAGCGGACGAACACTTGGAGAACTCTGCTCTGGGTCTCAGGTTTGGAACTTGTGCCACGACGCATGTACAAGTAAGAATTGTTTTAAACTCTCCACTTCTAACTGAATGGGAACTAAAGCGGAGCTCTTACGTTAAATCAGGGTAACGAACAGAACGTTCATTAACAAAACATTCGCTCTCACGCCCTCAACAGCGGCGTGTGCAGCCGGCGCCCCGGTGCACAGAGGACGCTGCGGTTTGGGCCCGTGCATGAAATCCCAGTAAGTTCCAATCCCCCCTCTATAGTTTCTGTCCTGGGAAATCCTGATTTCTGGCATCAAAGATCCTACTTTTAAACTACAGCCAGGCAGCGGTGGCAGCACGTGGGAATTAAAACCGTTCGTTCTGCTGGCTCGAAACGCACCATGAGACTCCGCATGCATAGGGTTTCGGCGCTTCCTAAAGGGACCACCCCTGGGACTCGTCACATTCCCCGGCGTGCGCGGGGCGGCTCCCTGGACACCGGTGTCGCGGGCACGGCAGCACCGGTCTATCCTCGAATCCTTTCTGAGGGGCTCCCCCAGCCTTACCTGGCGCGTCACCTGGCCGACTTCTACAGAAACGAAAGAAAATGAACGCAAGTTCGGGGCCGGGCAGGGTCCGAGTTTGAGGTACTGCACGTGCCACCGTCCTGCCAGTGAAGGACGAGGGTTCGAAAACGTTCCAAAGCGTAATTCTGCATAATTCCGTTATATGCAATGAAAGCAAATAAAAAGCCGATACTTGTCTTAGACTTAAAAACACTTCTCAGAATGTGTCACTTTTATTCATTGGCCACACCGGAAGGTGTGGCGGCAGACACAGGTGCGTGGGTGAGGAGAGCGGCCGGAGCCTGCTCGCCGAATCCAGCCCGTGGCCGGGCCACCAGGCCTCAGGGGACGGCGGGTGGGGCGCCGCCCCCAGGAGAGGGAGGGGGGGGGCGGGGGGGGGGGGGGCTCGTGGAGAGACTTTTCTCCCGGTGTTAACTTTTTGGTCTATAAACTGGAAAGGAAGGCTCAGACTTAAATAAATACATTTATTGTGAGTAATGGCCTTTATCGAGCACGGCCCGCCGATGCGGTGCCGGGCAGGTTTCGGGCGTGAGCGGCGCCCACAGCTTGCCCCGCAGGCGGGCAGCCCCTCCAGCCCGCGAGGGGAGCAGGGCCCACACTGCTCCTCGCGGAGAGGACGACAGCGTCCCTCCTCTGGGGCAATGGCCGGGCTCAGTCCCCGCGCCGGCCTCCCTAGTTGACCTTGTCCTGGAAGATGTACAGGTTGTTGGTAGCGGCCACGGCGATGATGTTCTCCGCTGGGTGCCAGGCCGTGTGCAGAATCTTCTTGTTGAAGTCCAGACTGTCCACACTGATCTCGTCCTTCTTTCTCTTCCCGCCTGTACACACTTTCCGAGGCTTTAAGCTGGCTCGGGGCTTGCTGTTCTCCCTGGAAGCTTCCAGCGTGACATCCCTCCGTGTATTTCGATCGAACATTCGGAAGAAGTTGTTGTAGGAACCGGTCATGATGGCGCTGTGCACAATGAGAGAGAGCAGTGCTGGTCAGGCACGAGGCACGGATACCTTACCACACGTGGGGGCCCAGCGCCCTGGACGCCCGGCGAGGGTCACCTGCCCTCACCCCTCCCCTACCTGACAAGATCGTTTCAGAAGCAAGACGTGAAAATAACGGTTGGCAGAGAAAAACAGTGAAAATCGCCTACTGAACTTCACGTACGTAATCATGTCCGCGAAAAGAAATATTACAGGATAGAAAAGGAACAGCCACACTTGATTACATTGATGTGTTCTGTTTGAAGTGAGCTCCTCACCCGGAGTGGGGTTTGAATTCACGACTCTCAGATCAAGAGTCTCACGCTCCTCCGACCGAGCCAGCCAACACCCCGCGTTACTGCGTTTTTAAGAGAAAAAGGAAAAAAACCCGACACGGCCACCTGTCCCAGCCACAGACAACGGGGTATTTTCAAGTCTCAAACATTTGCACTTTGTCAGTGATACAAAACTGACTTGTGTTCAGTAGACACTAGACCTGTCAGTATCCCTGCACACACACCTCATCAAAGAATACTTTTTAATTCATTTAATGCCAAGAAGCTCGTTCACGCGAAGCGACAGGCGTACAAAGGGGAAGACCTCGGGGTGAATCTCAGATGCTGCGGCTCTGCCCACATTCTTCTCTCTCCAGGATTAATACCTAAGGCCTCCATGGTCTCTGAAGTCAAAAATGTTCCTGCTATACTGGTAGAAACTGCTGGTCTGTTTTTTAACAAAACTGAGAAAAATGGCTGACAAGCGTTGCCAGGATTTCGCCCGTGGCTTTAGAACGAGCCCTGCTCCAGATGAGGAGGGTGTTCAGACCTCGCCCTGCAGATCCCGCAGACCCGGCCCGGTCCCCGTGGCTCCCCAGTCTCTTCCGACGACCCCACGGTCTCCAGGCTCGGGCACAGCTAGCGGCTGACCCCGACACAGGCAAATCCCTCAGTGCCTGCCTCACCTCATCTAAAACTGCACCCGGAAAACAGGACGGCCAGAGAAGGACTCCTTCCACTACCCGTACTCAGCCTGTGCGGTCTAAGCCCAGGAGGACGCGGCGCTCGGGAGAGGCCCAGCGCCGCTCAGACCAAGGCGCTCCCCAGGTCAGCCTCGTGTACAAGACCACATCCAAGGAAGGCTGGGCAGGAAGTGTGCCGACGCGGCCCTTCCGTCCACGCTGCTCGAAGTCAAGCGTGTCTGCCACGATTCCTTGGAACAGAGACCGGGAAGAGCTCTTCAGGAGGATGCGGTTTTGTGCTCGACACTGGTGAGAACTGGCGTGCGGCAGAAATGAAGGCAGACCAACTCTGATAGGTTCGGTATTTCTTTAAAATGTCTGACCCACAAGCCTGCAGGGGAGGTGGCTGTGCCCACTACCCAGACCATGTGAGTGACAACCCTCCTGAGCACCTGGACAGATGTCCTCCTGTTCCCCAGGTGGCCGGGTGGACTCAGGGGTAAGTGGCGATGTCCATTTTTGCCAGACAACCTGAGCACGGCCAAGAGGTGTCACGGGACAGCATGGTCTCAGGCAGGGTGCGGGTGCCCCCCCCAACGTCACACCATCCCACGGGAGACACTTCCTGCAAGAAGGCGGGGCAGCGCTGCAAGGGCGGAAGAACAGGTAAACCTTACTGGGAAGCCTCTGAATATTCCTGGGAACCGGTAATCTGAAGGCAGTTTTCAGTATTCCCGATATACCAAAAGGCATAAAGAAAAACACGACTATCCTTCTACCCATAAGCCACTGCTAACATGGTCAAATCCCACTGTGTACCTCTCTAGACAGACAGATCTTCCACCCGGAGCCCCTGCTGGGAACCGTTACAGAAGAGGAGTAGCATTCCTGTACGTGCTTCCGTTTGGAGTAGTTATGTATTCTTAAAATCAATACCTTCTTGTGTGTTCTAGAGAACACGGAAATCATCAAATCATACGTATTCTTCCACAGTATGCTTTCTTTGCTTACTATCCTTGTGAGATCACCCGTGTGATATGTGTAGTTTTAATTCATCGGTTTTCACTCGTTTTTAGTGGCAAACGTTACGGACAGACAACAGTGTTCCTGTCCGCTCGCCTGATGGCGAACACGGGGGCCCCTCGGGGGTTTGCTAGCTCCGGTTTCTGAGCATGTTTCTTGCCTGCACACGCGCCAGGTGCCTGACCCATGTGGGCCGCTGCCAGTCTCAAAAGGAGGGCCACGGTCAAGGCCGTCGGGCTCCGCCCTCAGCCCGCCGTTGTAAAGGCTGTGAGGAGGTGTCCTTGTCCCTTTAATGTGCCGACTACTGAGACCCAGCGCTCTCGTCTTCTTTCCGTTTCTGTTGGTTCCCGCTCGTGAGCTGTCACTCTCCCAATTCTTTCCCTGATTCTGGACACTCCGCTCTTGGCTGGTCAGATCTGCTTTCGTGGGTTTTCGCGGTCGCATTTTGATATAAGACAAGTTTACAACGTTAACGTGGGTGAAGTTCCCTAAGTTTTTCTTCACTGTCTGGGGCTGGGGCTTGTACAAGAAGTCCTTCGGTCTCTCCCACGTGGGTGCTGCTCCTTGACGGCTCCTTCACTCCCAGCTCGTGTACCAGATGGCTGAGGGACAGCTGTAACCTGTCCCCACAGGCAACCAGCTTACATCAGCAGAGCTCAGAGTCAATGTTCCTCAGCTTTAGGGCTGGTGGTGGCCGTGCGCCTGCCTGAGCTCTCAGAGCCGCCTTCTGGGGTCACGTCCTTTCCTGGAAGTACACTCCTGAGATCTATCCTGTAAGCTTCTGGTCAGGGTGAAGCGTCCCCCATCTGAACGCGCTTTACTGCACACTGTTCTGAGCGACCGATCATTTATCTCGGCAGGCAGGGACAGCGGTCACAAGGAAGGACAACACGCTGCGTCACACCATCCCGTGGACCTGCTGTGCTGAGAAGGCCGCTCCCAGCCTGACTGTCCCTTCTCCAGGTAGTGCGTCTTTTTTCCCCACGGCTGCTTTTCACCTCTCTCTGCCTGCGGTGCCCTGGGATTTCATAGGACACGGACGTGGAATTCTGTGCTTCCTGAACCTGTTCCTCAAGTCTTCGTCTGTTACAGGAAGTTCCTGGCCATCATCGCATCGGACATCACTTCCCCACGGTTCTCTACTCCTGGGCACGCCTCTAACACGTGTTTCACCGGGTGCCCCTCCCCCAGCCTCCATGCTCGTGCCCTTCTGCAGATCCTACCCCTGGAGCTCCGCGCTGGGCCCCAGACCACGGCTTCTCCTGTTCTCTAACTGCCCGGGATCTCCTACTGAACCCATGGTCATTTTCAACCACTGAGTAGTTCCTTTCCAGAAGTTCTGTTTGCTCCGTTTATAAATCTCTCGGGTCATTTCTAGTGGTTTTGCTCATGGTTCCCTGCTCAGGTTTTGGTTCCTTCCTTCAGTCTGGAAACATTTTCAGCCCTCTTACCTTATACTCTGCAGCTTACAGTTCCAGTACCTGAATCTGCAGAGGTTCGGTTTCGCGGCTGTTTCGGACTTGTTCACAGTAGCTTTCCTTCACGTACTTGGTAGTTTTTACCTATACATCTGGGGAAATCTCGAGCCCTGGGTGTACCGGGAGAGGCGATCCACCATGGGTGCGGGGTGCCCCTCCGCGTCTCCGTGGCTATGCCAAGAATGTGATTCTCGAGTGCTCTCTCCCTGGGCCCCGAGTCTGGGCTCCGCAGCGTCCACGGGCAGGTGGGCTCACCATTTTCTGAGAAGCCCAGTCACGCTGGATGTGACACCAACCCCGCTGCTTGTGCGGCCCGGCCTGGGCCCCTTGTGTCACTCCTGTGCGGCGCGGGAGCCTTGGAAAACCGGTGCCCGCACGGAGCTCACGCTATCCTGCAAGGCCAGGGGTCTGGAGCCCGGAGTCTGCCCTGGGGGACTCGTGTCTCCAGCAGCATCCACAAAACACCAAGAGGTGGAGGGTCGGCACGTAAATCAGGTAAAAGCCTAGGCCCGAAAAGGTCTGTTCCTCCTGATGCCCAGAGCCCGGCCTGCTACGTAGCACCCAGGCCCGCAGTAGCTTTTCCAGATCAGGCGGCCAGTACACATACGCCACATCCCGTGAGGGGGGACAGGCTGATGGTTACAAATCTCAGGGGACTTTTATGCTCAAAGTCTCAGACAGATGTCCCTTGGGACTCTGAATGTAGATGGATGATGCCTCTTCCAGAACCCTCGAGGGTCTCCCCATCACTGTGCACTGTGCGTGGGCCCCAGGCTGTAACTGCGCCAGACCTCAGCTGTGAAGACCTGGGTCCTGGGACCGGATGCCCGCGGGCCAGCCCGGCACCCAGGGTTCCCTTGACCTTCTACTTCCAACCCCCGCTTCATCCTGGCTGCTGTGCAGTTTCCTTCGGTCACGTGGGACCGCCCCTTCCCAGCACCACAAACGCAACGTGTCGTTTGACAGCAATGACACGATCCTCGGCACTAGTGGCGTCGTCCTCTCTGACGAACGGGCACAAGACACATTCCCAAGGCACCAGAACTACCACTCTGCGGAGGCCACCAGGCCCTGCCGCCGGAGCACCACCAGCAGTGAGCCGGGAGGGCGCTCCCCGCTCCTCTCCCGCAGGAAAGGCCACTGGAATGCGGCCGGTCACATGCTGAGGGGGAAACCACCACCCCAGTCCCTTCCGTCACAGTCCTCTCGGCAGCAGGACATGACACGTTACTTTAAGAGCATTTAAAAAACAGCCCAAAAGAACCTTAGTACCACAGGTACTGTAAGCACCACAAGCATGGGGAGAACTTGCTCCTGAGCACCTTCTCTCCACGGAAACTGTCTGGTGGGGGCAGCGGGCTGGGGTTGGAGGGGGGGAGGCACCTGGGTGGCTCGGTCCATTAAGCATCCGACTCCGGCTTTCGGTTCAGATCATGATCTCAGGGTTTGTGGGATCGAGCCCCACGTCGGGCTCTGTGCTGACAGTGCAGAGGCTGCCTGGGACTCTCTCTCTGCCCCTCCCCCGTGTGTGCGCATGCTCGTGCTCGCTCGCTCTCAAAACAAAACATTAAATAAATAAAAACAAACTGTCGAGAGCCTGAAAACCAGCCTTCAAAGCACGGCTCGGCACAACCGGCGCCCCCCCCCCCCGCTCCCCCCCCCCCCGAAGCCCCCTGCCTCCCGTGCGGGCCTGCCCGCGGCCTCACCTGTCTGAGCCGCCCCAGCAGCACTCGAACTTGTCGAAGATGCAGTCGTTCTCGTACAGAGAGCACAGCTTGCTGCGCAGGTACTCGTGCACCTTAACGAAACCACAGGAAGGTTAGACGGCGCCGCGGGCAGACGTGGCGCCGTCCCGGTGCGGCGGTCTCACCTGGTGGGTCTCGACGGGCCGGCTCTCCATGTTGAGGTCCCACACCTTCACCGACAGGTAGTCTCGGGTCATCATGTACCGGCCGCTGTGACTGAACCTCACGTCGGAGATGGAGGAGATGATTTCGGAGAAGAAGGACCTGCTGCTGGGATCTTCGGGTTCTTCAAAAACTGGAAAACACAACGTGTTCGGCTTCTGTTTAAAAGCCGGAGGACGAACCATGCTCCGGGCTCCAGGCCCTTCCCGGGGACCCCAGAGGGGGGCACAGCCCGCATGCCACTCAAGCTCCTGACCTTTCCAGTCTGTGAGTTTTCTGGCCTTCACCTTCTGTGCTTCAGAGACTTCGAGGAGGTGGCCCGGGGCCAGTCACTGACAGGGGACAGCATCAGAAACCCCCCGATCCCGCCCAGACCCGGGAGCAGCATGCCCACGGCTGAGGCCCAGGGCTGCGGCCTGGGGAATCCGCCCCCGACATGCCGGCGTGGACTGCGGTCAAGGACCGCCATGCTAACCACAGGTCGCGACCACAGACACCCGGGTGCCCAAGCAGCCCTGTCCCGTGTCACAGGAAGACAGAGGTGGCGCCGCCTGGGCACACTGGGTCCAGACTGTAACCTCCGGATGGTCCCACCCGCCAAAGCCCGTGTCGGTCTCTGCTGTCTGGAAGCCAAGTTCCATTAACAAGACCCAATTACTTTCAGAAAGATTCCAGATGCTTCCTCGGCAGACATTCCTTTCTCCTACAGGTTTTGCGGTTTCAGCAGAAACTCAACAGCCCCCTACCTGTGCGGCCACAGAGGCCCCAGAGGCTCCGTGAGCCCCCCAGTCCCCCAGGGTGCCATCACACCCTCGGCTCAGGAAGCTTCGAGTGAGGGTCTCTGCACTTCACTTTAAGCCGCTTTAGCCTTTGGTTTCTTTTTCAACATGGGAACCTGTATGTTTCTTGGCTCTGCACATGGAATGAATTTTAAGCAAGCTAGCTACTGGCAACGCCGAGTGTTTCCTCAAAGAAACTGCCAACAAGAACTACTCCTGGCATCTTTGCAAAATGGTCTCTTCAAGAATATCATGGTGAGGGGCGCCTGGCTGGCTCAGTCGGTAACAGTGTGCGACTCTGGATCTTGGGGTTATGAATTCAAGTCCCACATTAGGTCTAGAGATCACTTAAACTAAAAAAAGAAAAAAAGACCATTGATCTTGAGACACACAGGTCAACATCATACGAAGCTGACTCTTCACTGCAGGACTCCTATAAAGAGGACAGAATTCTTGAAAACACACTTTAGCCTCAGAAAAACGAGAATAAGGCGAAAACGTTCCCGTGAACCAGTCGGCAAGCACATCTGACGTGAGGCGCTGCTTGTGGCCGTGCTCGGCAGGGGAGCCACCGCAAACAGAACGGTCAATGGACTGACTCCCCCGAAGGAGAGCGCGTCCCAGGACACGGGAATCGAGTCGCCCTCGCGGGCTCCGGGGACACGCCGGCAAAGCTTGCTGTGCAGTCCAGTCCCCACCATGGGACACAAGGGAGGACACATACACGCTTCTGCTTTTCTATAAAGCCAGGCCTACTCTTTATGGCTAAAACTGAAAACAAAATAAAACTCTCCTCACCTAGAAGAAACTTCAAGGCTCAGCGGATTAAAGTGCTAGAGCGTCACCCGCGGGAAGTGCCTTCCAGGGCAGCAAAGCTCACTTGTGAACAGAGCCCATCGCGACAGCCGAGAACGACCACGAGTGAAATGTGCTCTAGCCGCCGCACGAGGTCCTAGCGCACAGAGGTGGAGGCAATACACGGTTCTCGGCTGGCCCCGGCCCGGGAACCCTCAGACGCAGCCCTGAGACTGTGACGGGAGTACCACTATGGGCCGCCCCTCCGAGGCACATCTAACGGAAAGTCTACGGGACCCTGCCCTCACCGTCCACGTGGCGCCAGCAACGGCCCACGCGAGAGCCCCCCCGGGACTGGTGATCGACAGCAGGTCCTACGCCTGCGCGGGTGGGAGCGGAACGGAAGGAACCCTAAGTCTCTGGAGACGGTCTTGCGCCTGGAGAACAGGCGGATTTAAACGAGGCAAGCTGAGCCCTCCAGGCACTTACACTTAGAGTGTCTGTCGCACAGGGCTGAGGAGCGCATGTCGCACAGCCTGATGGTCCCTTTGCTGCTGCTGTAGACGAACACGTTGCACTGGTGCGGGTGGAACTCGGCTGCGGTGATCACCTCCGTCAGCTCCTCCATGTTTACGGGCTTGATGTCCACGATGTCTGCAGGCACACGGTTAAGGCAGGTGCTCGGCAGCTTCGACCACGTCCACGCGAACGGCAGGCGGGAAAAACCCACCGTGAGCGTTAAGAGTGGACACGTAAAGGAGGTGACCACACAGACGGCGTGCAGGGGAACACGCCGGGAAGAGGGCCTGTGTCACCTAAGCGCCGCTCAGACCACAGGGCCGCGGCTCAGCAGGCCCGGACCACTGCTGCCACTAACGTTCCACAAGACGTTCACGGCAAGATCATAGGTGCTTGATGGTGTGAGACCCGTGCGAAAATCCCATACTTCCATCCATACGTCACACACACACGAGACCTGCCAAGTTCCAAGATTCTGCTTTTCTAGGAATCTTTTCATCTGCCATCAAGAGCTCGTTCTAAGTAGTTAGAACAGCATAGCTTGCCAAATACGGAAATCACTTAACTGAAAAACACAAGAGGAGAGTGGAATCTGGCTACGGGCCGGGATGGAACGACGGGGGCCAGATGAACCCTTCCACTGACAACTAGGTGACGCCACAGCGTGTCACTGGACAGCACCCAGTGTGGGCAGCGATCCTGGAGGGACTGCAGCCCTGCAGCCGACCCTGTGCACTGCTACGTAGGGTGGAGACCCGGGCCACGCCCAGGGGCTGCTGGGAGTCCAGGGAAGCTCACAGGGCACCCCGGCGCCAAGCGCCAGGGCAGCATTCCCGGTAAGTTCGAGAACCGGAGTCTGTGCCAGCCTGTGAGGAAACCGCCCAGGCAGGTGGGGAGGCACCCAAACAGAGCGAGCCGCGCTCCCCTCACGCGCAGGGCGTGATCCGCAACGTTGACCAGGGTGAGAGGAGGGCCGGCCGTCGGCGAGCGGACGGGCGCAGAGGTCCAAGGGCACAGGGCGGGGGCTGAGTGTCCGGAAAGAGCACAATTCGCTGCCGGAGGTCTCGTGTGAATGGATCAAAGGTATTTTTAAAGTAATCGTGTTAGGAAAAATAAGATAGTGTTAACAGATGCAAAAAAGTATGTCAAAGCGTATGTGTCTCAAAATCTAGGTCACAAGGAAGGGCGTTCGGAACACGATGGGGAGACAAAATTTTATAAAGGCAACGAAAACTGTGAGTGCGTACACAAATCGTTTATGAATTGAGAGCGCTCGCCAATCACGAAGGAAAAACAGGAGCTTCCGACAGGAGGAAAATGACAAGGGACACCAAAAAAACTTCACACTAACGGACGGTAAATCAACAGCAAATACTTTAACTCACCTATAATCGAGGAAATTAAAAATGGTCTGTTTGGTTTCACTAACGTGAAAAGTTATTTTTCAGAAGATCCAATGCTCTGCTGAAAACAAGCACGCCGAGGGGGCGGGGGCGCCCATCCCAAAGCCCGCACGGAAGGGTACCACACACGGCCTGCGCCCCAGCGCCAGTCCTCGGGCTCGAGGGGCACGCAGAGCATGGCGCGGAGCCGCAAACCCTCAAGAGCTCCAAACCCTGCAGCTACACACCTGGAGTCTCACGGATACGAAAAAGGCGGTCAGAATGCGGTGGAAAAAACAAGGCTGACGGCAGAGGCTCACTGTTGTGCACCAGGCCCCGTGCACGCGGCTCCGGGCCCACTGGCTTTGGGGTTTTACAAAGCCCCAGGCGGCCCCCCAGGAGTGCAGGTTTCCGGAGGAGGAGAAAGGCCTGGACGGCCTGAGGGACTCGATGCTAATTAAGGTCCCAGAGCTGAACTCGGCCGCTGACATTCCCGAGCGCTTGGAACGTCACGTCACTACCACCAAGCAGAGGATGAGCCCAGCGCTTCCGAACACACGCGTCCGTGCGCTGCTGGGAAAAGGCTGCAGGCGTGCACACCGCCACCTACCATGGCTGTCTGGAACGACGGAGGGGGAAGAACTGCTCCGCTTACTGGAAGTTTGTTCCAAACAGTCACGCACTAATGGGAGAAACACTGATTTAAAAGAGAACAATTTAGGGAGAATAAAGAGAAGGCAGGGACCATGGGCACGAGCCTCCTAAGCTGGGACGTTCTGCAAGGTTGCAGAGGAAGAGACACAGAAAGTGCGGCGGCCACAGTGGCCCCTCGCTCGGGCCTCCTCCCGCGGCCAGGCCCGCATGCTCTTCGGGAAACGAGTTACCACGGTCAGGAAATAACTGAATCAAGTAAAAGGACAACAGATAATAAAAATCACGTGTGACATGCTTGAATTTGAAAGGTATATATGCTTGATTTCGTGGACTGTCCTGAGTGGAGGCGTCACACGCAGCCCAGGCGACCCTGCGGACGCCCATCCCGCTCCGGCCAGCCCGACATCGCTCCAGAACATGGGAAATGCTGACTGAAGCCCCCCGACGTGCACATGTGACAGGACTCTCATTTCTGGAGAAATCAAGAACTTGCCTAACCAATAATTGGCAGACTTTCACCTTCGTAACAGTGCCACTGCACCACTCTTTTGAATACTCCTTAAACAAATCTTTTAAGACACAATTCTTACGTGTCACTTCTTGGGTTGGATGATTAAACATCACTCGAACCACAGCCAGTGTTTTCCAGTCTATTATCTACTAGCAGATTTGGGGGGGGGGGGGGGGGCAGGCAACAACGAGCCTCCGACAGATGCTATTTAAAACAGCCTCTCATTAACCCGGGGGCAACAGACTTGGTCATTCTCATTACATAGAGAACCCTCCCCAAAGGCAGAAAGTAGTTTCCGTTTTTAGGGATGCTCCAAATCCCAGGGAACCTCCACCACGGGCTACCGTGCAGCAAGCGTGTAGAAGAGGAGACTCAGATGCAGGAAGAGACGTGCACGGAGAGCGTCTCTGAAGGACAAACGTGAAAAAATGCCGAGACCGCCATCTGATGAAGGATACTGAAGCTCCTATCTGTGATTTCTAAATGCCATAGATTAATTCTCAGGTCATCTGCAGAAAGATACGTTTCATGATCACTATTTACTGAAATGGAATTTATATGGTATGTATGAGCATTGGCAAAAATTCGTCGTGGACTTGCTTCTACCATAAGATCCATGGGCTTCAATATTGGAACCTAAAAACGGAAGGAGACAGGAATTCAAAACAAAGATCACTGCAGCATAAAATTACAACACTTCAAGACAGCAGAAAACAAAAAGGAACAAATGCGAGTTCACAGTGAGCTAACGGTTTCGTACAGACAATACCCCAAATAAGCAATTACCAGAGCTATGAAAACAGGCTACAAATGGGGTCCTGTCCCTCCCTGCGGCCACCGCCAGGGCCGGTTACGTTCGTCGAAGGGCACACTGAACTGGCACCTAACAAAGTGCTTCCAGCGCACCGATGCCTAATGCTTGGCTTCTCCTTCCCGTGTGTCCCTGCAGCCACAAGGACAGCAAAGTCTCCATGGGAGACTCCGTCAAGAACCCCCATCCCTTTCTCTCCCTTGCGGCCACTGCCTTTAAAAGGGACACTACACGGCTGGTCTGCTCGGTGCAAATGCCACGCACCTCGGAGGGGGTGCGGGGACAGGAGAGCGCACGGGGGCCCCCCAGGGAGCTGAGGTACCATGCCTGATCTGCTGCTGGCTCCGCGGGCAAGTCAGCCTGGAAATACCCATGGAGCCGTTCACTTATACGGCAGAGGCAGTTTTTGGTACACAGATTATGCTTCAACAAGAAACTTTTAAAAAGGGGGCACAAAAACCCCATCTCTGTGCTGTGCGCTGTGGTCAGGGGACAGGACACCTATGCCACCATGGAGACGTGGAGTCAGCCAGGCAAAGCGGGAGGGACGGGGCCGGCCCAAACACACACATGCCCACACGAGCGGCAGGGGCGCCATTGTGCGTCATCGTGTCCACGCGTGAGAAAAAGAAAAAAGTCCCAACATCACTGACATCCAATGGAAAAGAAGGCAGAAGCTTTAAAATCACAATAAAAAATGAACAGTAGTAACTCGTTATTTTTCTAATTAAAAGCCAAAGGGAGCACCTCTCGTTTCGTCTTCTCTGACCAAAAGTCTGCAAACTGCCTGGAGAAACATGCATCAACACTGCTTCCTGCACCTCAGGCAGACAGGTGCCGACCACACGCTGGCCTCTCTGCCCTGCGGGGCCCAGGGAGGGTGGCCACAGCCCTCAACCAGTCTTTTAACTGATCAAGACACGTGGCAACTTTAATGCCAGGCCTGAAAGCCTCTTCCTCCTAATTAAATTCCTTTTTTGGCGCTAAAATAATTTAAGAGGAAAACAAAATTTAAATAGAGCAGTATTTGGGGTGCCTGGGTGGCTCAGTCAGGTAAGCATCCAACTTCAGCTCAGGTCATGATCTCACAGCCCATGAGTTCGAGCCCCGCGTCGGGCTCTGTGATGACAGCTCAGATCCTGGAGCCTGCTTTCAATTCTGTGTACCCCCCCTTCCCCCACTCATGCTCTATCAAAAATGAATAAACGTTAAAAAAAAAAAAGGCAGTATTTGACTCCCACTCAGCTAAGTTTAGACAAATACTCTATTTTTAGCTTTTAGAGAGGCAGTTAAGAAATCAAATATGGGCTTAAACTCACAAAGACCAGTCTATTTACAGCCTGTGATGTCTTAAACCCCACTGGGATTAACAAAAGCAGTTTCTGAGGAAATCGCACTCTGGCCACCAATTAGACCAATTTTATTTGGGCTGAACACATAAAAGAGCCTCTGAATAAAACCAGCACTGGTTTTTATTTACCCAAATAAGACCTATGGTTTTTACGGTAGAGGCACGTGAGCGTGCGGTGCGCTCAAGGGGAAGCAGGTTTCCAGCAGCGGGGAGAGTGTGCCAGCCGGCGGGCGGGCGGGCGGGCGGAGGCCGTGAGGGCGGCCGGGGACCGACAGGAAGCCAGAGCAGGGCGCCCAATGCCTTCTCCAGCCCATCCCACTTAGAGGCGCTTCAGGTGTTGGCAGCTGACACCAGTGCCACCGTCACTCCGAGTGGTTTCTCGCTGCCACGTGGATGTGAAAGCGGTAACCGGGGCAGCAGAAATCACCAATGTTCAGATTGACACATCTCGGTTCAAATCAGTTTTATAAACTCCACCCGAGTATATTACGTCGCTTCTCAGAATCAGCCCCTGGACACACGGCAACACTTGGGACCCGAGAGCCTTGGAAGAGGCTGACCCAGCCCGCTCTCCTCCTGGGCAATGCTACTCAGCCGCATGCTGCTGTTTCCTGAACCACGGGGAGCGCCGCCTCTGCTGCCGGGCTGTGGCTCTGACCCGTGTGCCCGCCATCCCAGCATGCTGTGTGCACCCAGCGTCACTGCAGTGGGGTGTGGTGCGGGGAAGGGTCTCTGCGGGACAGTGTCCTTCCCTGTCACACCTTCCTACTAACCTGGAACGTATGCACTAACTAGGTCTTCACTTGGTGAACAGTATTCAGCAAAGTTTTTAAACCTCATTAGAAAAGAAACCAGCCAGCGGACAATTTTCCCGTGTACCAGGCAGCGGTTTTAGGACAGGCCTCCGAACTAACGCCCCACCTCCTTCGCCACATCCCGTCTCGCTCTACGCACTGGCCAGGGCGCATACCGGGGGGCCAATTACAAGACCCTGAGAGCCTGTTCAGTTAGTTTTACTCAACGTCATAGACGTTAAAAAGTAAAAAAAAAAAATCTAGGTACCAGAAGTGACGGTCATTCATACTGGGCTCAGGGTCAGCAAAAAAGGGAGGGAAGAATTTTTTTTAATTTCACAGTTAGAAAAAGAAGTGATGATTCGGAAACCTGAGAACATGCCCCAGGTAACCCAGGGAACTCCGTGAAAGCCAGCGTCTGCGGCCCATGCAGCTCCACCCAGGGCAACGTTCCGAATCCCACGTGGACGTCACCACGACCCACGCGCCACTCAGGACCTTTGCAGAGAAGGGGGTCGACACGCTTAGAGAGATTTGTTGTGGAGTCAGATCTGAGTCTCTTTAGGGTCATCGTGCTTTCTGAAGACGCCGTGTGACTTCTTGCTTACGTGACACACAGGAAACCTGACCGTAACACATACAAATAGCGGCGACTGTGATCGCAGACCGCCTCCACGGGCCGGAAAAGGTGGACCCCACAGGGGCCCCACTCAGCGGTCTCCTCTATGCAGACGCACGCACTGTCCCCGATTAACTAGTAAGAGAACCGAGTAGTGTGAGGAGACGCAGCGCGTACCCTCAGCGCCGTAATTCGGAATGGGTCTCGAAGCCGTCCGTCTTCATCTTTCAAGTTGTAACCTTCTGCTCTTTTGTCCCGCTCGCTTATTTTCCATAATTTAATAGTTTTATCTGAAAATAAAAATCTTAGTCTCCGTATTAAAAGAAAAACCTTAGCACGCACCACTGTTAGTCGAGTATTACATCAGAAAACTGTGTGGTTCTATGTGGATTTCTAAGCTACGAGCCTCTGAACCTTAGCTTCCGGTTACGGATAAACCTGGACGTTCTGTTGGCACAGTAAGTAAAGAAGGGGGGGTGTGTGCCGCAGGGCAGCGCCATATGGGGAGCGTGTGCGTGCTCACCTCTGTGTTCTTTAAGTCCTCAGCCTACCACCTGCTGCCTAGCTAATAATTTACCCTCTCCCCAAAGTTTAAACAGAAACGTTTTCTAGAATGGGTTAAAGTAAAAAAGGAACCTATACCCAGAAAATTAAAAATAAAATCCTACATCAAATAACCACTTACAAAAACAAAAAAGCTCTTACCATTTGTAGAGAGTAGAAAATGAGCAGCATTCTGTTGTGGTAACCACCTAATTTTATTGATTTTTTCCTCAATTTCTAGACTTTTCAAATAGTCAAACTCTGGTTCATGACTTTGAAAGGTACTGTAAACATTATATTCTCCCCTAGAGTGAGGGCGGCTTTTATTCTGCAAGGAAACAGGAGGCTGTTTTAATGAACAAAGCACAGTGCAAAGAAAAACTCCGTAGTACCAATATGACTATAAAATGACCGCACACATTTTTAAAAAGTTAAACAAAATCCTGGGTCAAAAATTATTAAACAGATGACACTCCAAATTAATTTACGTGGAAAAAACAAGTAACAGAGATTTCCCAGACCTTCCGTCTCTGTCCTAGGCACGCGCTCCAGGTGCACGTGAACCAGGGTTCCGCAAACATGAGCAGGCCCTGCCGTGCGTGCACTTCTGGAGACAGGCCGAGGGCCCACAGCGGGTGAGTGCACACCCCCTGGGCCCTGGGGCAGCCGGCCCAGACCGCACTCGTGCCCACCGGGAAGAGGGCCACCGAATGGCACTTATGTGGTGACCACCACCGGTAGAGGATACCTGTTATGTGGATTTTTAACACACATAAAACAATTCTACATGTTGCAGTGAAAGTATAAACACACGCTCGGAAAGATACAGGCCGTCTTCAAAGTCATAACCAACTCTGGGAAGGCCGAGGGAGAGTAAGGTAAGACTTGGGGATGAAGCTGGAAGACAGCACGGGGAGGGCACACGGGAGCCTCACCCACCTGCCAAGGGCTTGGTTTTCTTTTACGAAAGAGTAAAACCTGGGTGGTGGGTTCATAATATACTTATATTAATACTTAAAATCTTCTGTATGTCTCAAATGACATTTTCTATAAAACAGTAAGAATACGTAATTAATATAATTGTTTTCATTTTTTTTAATTTTAAAATTTTGTTTAATTCTTGCTATCTAATCAGCATCTTTAGTCTTACATTTTTTAACACTTTAGGAAGTGTGTCAGAGAAACTGAATGAAACAGAGGGAGCTTTACGTCTAGATTTCTTTATATCTGAGTTAAGATCAAACATTATGAGGAAACACCCCCAAAGCTGCCTTGATCTCTCCACTGCTGCACACTCCCAGAAGCCACACACGGACCCTGGGATCTAGCACGTGGCATCCACGCGTGCGCTGTGCTCGGTGGGCTAACGTCCACAAGAGAAGCAGCGTTTGCCAGCAGATGCTTCTAACTTGCTGACGAGAAAAATGAAATGGGACTATTTAGGAAAGAAAAATCTGTAGAGTCCTCAGTCCCAGGGCTCAGGACCATAATCCACTTCAAGAAACAGCAGAATCTGAACCAATCTATGAGGCGCCCGCACCGAAGCGCTGCTCTCCTTCCCCGGCCACCGTGTGCAAGAACCAGAATGGATGCTCCTGACACTGCTGGGCCATCTTCCTGCTGTAACTGCCCGACCAGACCCCACCCCCCCCCCCCGCCCGCCCCCACAACAGGCTGAGACCCCGAGGGGCAGTGAGCGGTCTCCACGCCCTGTCCTGTCCCAGGAGAGGCAGAACAGAAGAGAGAGCGAGGGCCTGGGGGAGGGGGCAGAGCCAGAGCCCAGGCCGACGGCCCGAGCTGCTGGGAGCTGTGATCCGCGGGTGGCGGGAGGCCTATCTTGTTGGCAGACGTGCCGAGTGCTGGCGTCAGAGGACTCGACACTAACACAGCAGTTCGCGCAGTCAGGTGCAAAGCTGTGCTCTGAGGACGAGGGCTGCACAGCCACGTCCCCAAGCTCTGCTCCCTGGAGACTGCCACACCGGGCTTCCCGAAACAGGGCTCTGCTGCTGAGAGGGGAAAAAGCTCCAAGATCAATACTTCGAACCGTGCTCCCTACCCCCCGGATGTCTGGAGGGGTGGGTCCCTATCTCCCTGATCGCTCAGCCTGACACTCATGCCGCCCCCCCCTGCCATCGGGCAGGGCCCTGCTGTGTCCCTGCAGCCCCCGGGCTCCGCGGCTCTGCAGAAACGGCTGGGCCGTTTAACGGACAGCGCTGGAAAAATCCAAGTCTACAGTGAGGGTTACATACAGCAACCACTAAAATATTTTAAAAGCAGATGGAATATGAAAGCTCTTTTTATGTTAACCAAAGTATCGAGAAAAGGATGGGGAAACACATTGCCCAGGGATTAGTGAGTTGCAGGTGGTTGGGTTTATCAAACTTAAACCACTCTGACCACCTGTTTGCTGTATAAATCTGCTGCTGCACTTTATTAATAATGATTTAATCCATCTTAACTAAACACTTTATACTACAGGTTCTCAAAAGCGTTAACATATTTTGTAACAAGATGCTTGAGTTTTACCACAATCTATTTCACAGTTGAAGTAGACAGTTTTTAGATTTCAATGATGACCCACAAAAATGAGGAAAGTTTTCTATAAGGATATCATTAAAATGGCAAACCTTAAGGAGCTGAAGTCAATTCTTAAATTTAGGACAGCTATGGCTCAGCAATCTGCTAAAAATAATCCTTCTGCTAAAAGTAATAACCACCACCAACCACTTTTACTTCTGCCGAAAAGGATCAGGTACACAGTTCTACTTAAGGAGTGCCACGTCCTAATCTACCTCTGGGGAAAGAATGCAAAACTATGAACTTGCCAAATCATCTGTGAAGATTTTCAAAGACTAATGACAATAAATATTATTCACAAGAATTCTCACCATTCCAAATCAGAAAAAATAAGATTAAAAAAATTTTTTTAATTGGGGCACATGGGGTGGCTCAGTCGGGTAAGCGTCCAACTTTGGCTCAGGTCATGATCTCACGGTTCATGAGTTTGAGCCCCACGTTGGGCTCTGTGCAGACAGTTTAGAGCCTGGAGCCTGATTCTGATTCTGTGTCTCCCTTTCTCTCTGTCCCTCCCCCACTCACACTCGCTCTCAAAAATAAACATTAAAAAAAATTTTTTTTAGGGGCACCTGGCTCAGTTGGGTAAGCGTCTGACATCTGCTCAGGTCATGATCTCACGGTCTGTGAGTTCGATCCCCACGTCGGGCTCTGTGCTGACGGCTCGGAGCCCGGAGCCTGCTTTGGATTCTGTGTCCCCACCCCCACCCCTGCTCTTCCCCTGCTCACACTCTGTCTGTCTCTCAACAATAAATAAACGTTTAAAAAATACGAAAAAAAATTTTGTAATCTATACAGACATAGCAAAATTAGAGCTGCAACACGTATATTCCAGTGAGATGCGGGCACACCTCGCCTCACTTACAGAAGCCATCCTCCACTGACTGGGGCACCCAGGGCTCCCTCTCCTACAGATGCCCCTACGTGCCTCCTCTCTGGTGGCAGGGCCAGCATTCACTGCCGCACAGATCTGCTAGATTCCAGGGCCCACTAACTGCCACGCCAGTTCTGCCACAAAAACGTAGACACCAGAATCTGCGGATGAGAAAGCAACCCCACGCTGACCTGCCTGGACACAGACGAGGGCCTGTGTGTGACTCTGTCAAGAGAAAAGACAGATGGCTTTCCACAGACCCAAGCCTGGCTTCCCGGTGGTTCTGCCCCGGAACGTGTGCACAACAGACGAGCAGGGCACCAGGCCATCTTCTGCCCTTTCCCCCCGCAAAGCGGGAGTGACCGAGAAAGCAGTGCTCGTGACTGAGATTCACCTGCGGGGTCCTTCAGGCCCCAGTGAGGACTCCTTCCTCCCAGCACTGACGGTGGGGCCTCGGGGGGGTGCAAGACTGCTGCTCACCTCTGAGGAGGGACACAGAATTCACGGCCCCCCAACACACACAGAACCTTCCCCGCGGCTAGTGCCGCAGGAGCCGTTCAGAGCATACTTACTGCTGGACAGCACGGCCGGGAGCGGCCACCTCCGCTGGCTCGTGAAGTGGTTTTCACCGACAGTCACTTGAATTAATTACAGGATGAGAGCAAACGAATGCAGAACCCCACCACCCAATCCTTCATCTGGGCCTCACGACAGCCTGTGGGTAGGGCGAGGACTCTCCTCCCCGAACGTAAGGGCACAGGGGACTTAATCGGAGCTCAGAGGGTGGACGTCAGTGAGCTGAAACACAGATCTTGCTCAGCCCTGAGATAAGAAGATTCTACATGGTTAATGCGATGTAACCGAATCCAAGTGAACTTAGAGACTGAGAACGTGCTGTGCTGCTCTCCTTCCTTCCCAGTGACATGAGAAAGGCTGCAATTCGTTGGGTTTGTGTACAGTGAATTACCGACCTCTTGTTCCCGCTGAAAAATAACGACTCTGCCGCCCTTGTCTCCCGTTGCAAGCAGATCTCCAGAGTAATTAAATTCAACAGTTGAGATGATGTCAGCTGTCAATAAAATACAGAAGCAATTTATGAGATTATGATTTTGAAAGGAGGCATGATCAATACCAAAAATCAGTAAAGGTTCAAAAGAAAAATAAAAACATATACAACTTTCTCCCTGTTGGATAGAGCAAAATTTTCATGGGAAACTTGTAATTACCAAGCAGCCAATTCTGATTCTGGTGCCCAGAGCCCAAGAACACATATGGGCTTATGGGTTTTGCTCAAGGGATTGACCACCTGGTCCCTAGGGCACCAGGATTTATCTAGACTGTGATGTCTTGAGAGAAGGATACAGAGTAAAAATTTAGAAAATTAATTTTGAAAAGAAAAACAGAAAAGAACTGGTCCTAGAAGACTGGCTCTAATTTTATAATGCATGCCTAATATGAACTTTTAAAATAAATCTGATTCTTACATGATATTGACAGAATGTTTTTAATATTCTTTGCAGTAACTTTTGCTGCCTTCTGTACACAATATCCCTACAAACAGCACAAACTCTATTTCACCGACTGGATACAGTCACTAGCATCGATAATGACAATAATGACGCCATCATTATCTAGTCAGACACTGCTGGTGGGGTACGGAATTTCTGACAAGGATCTTGGTCATCAGCTCACTACAGGCAAAGGGTACAAAGAACAAAGCCAAGTGCTGGAAAAGTCCTTAGGTACCTAAGGCTAAGGCCTAGAAACAACAGATCTGAACTCATGGAATGGACTCCTGGAGCAAAAAAATAGAAAACCTGGTTGTCTTCAGCCCAGGGGTGCTGAGTGCAGACTGAATCAGGACAAAGACGGCTTCGGTCCTGCACAGGCCACTGTCAGCCTGCTCCTCTACCACCGGGACTCTTCACCTGCCCCAGACAATCTCCTCTCCAGAGGCTCCGAGGAAGGGCTGGAAGGGCTGGATCAGAACCTCCCCCCGCTGCTGGGGCACCAACACGAAAGGCCTGTGTGCCTGGCAGATGAGTGTGTGCTCTCCACCTGCGGGGCTACAGCTCCGCCGAGGCCAAGGGGCTTAAACCCAAATACTGCTGCACAACCAAAGTCTATAAAGAACTTATTAAACTGACACCCAAGGGGCGCCTGGGTGGCGCAGTCGGTTAAGCGTCCGACTTCAGCCAGGTCACGATCTCGCGGTTCGTGAGTTCGAGCCCCGCGTCGGGCTCTGGGCTGATGGCTCGGAGCCTGGAGCCTGCTTCCGATTCTGTGTCTCCCTCTCTCTCTGCCCCTCCCCCGTTCATGCTCTGTCTCTCTCTGTCCCAACAATAAATAAAAAATGTTGAAAAAAAAAAAACAAAAAACTCACACCCAAAAAACAAATAATCCAGTGAAGACATGGGCAAAAGACATGAACAGACACTTCTCCAAGGAAGACATCCAGATGGCCAACCAACACATGAAAAAAAGCTCAACATCACTCATCATCAGGGAAATGCAAATCAAAACCACAATGAGATACCACCTCACACCTGTCAGAATGGCTAACATTAACAACTCAGGCAACAACAGATGTTGGTGAAGACGCAGAGAAAGAGGACCTCTTTTGCACTGTTGGTGGCAGTGCAAGCTGGTGCAGCCACTCTGGAAAACATTATGGATTCTTCAAAAAACTAAAAATAGAACTACCCTTTGACCCAGCAATTGCACTACTAGGCATTTATCCACGGGATACAGGTGTGCTGTTTCGAAAGGACACAGGCACCCCCATGTTTATAGCAGCGCTATCAACAATAGCCAAAATATGGAAAGAGCCCAAATGTCCATCGATGGATAAATGGATAAAGAAGATGTGGTATACACATACAATGGAGTATTACGCAACAATCAAAAATAATGAAATCTTGCCATTTGCAACTACGTGGATGGAACTGGAGGGTATTATGCTAAGTGAAGTTAGAGAAAGACAAAAATCATACAACTTCACTCATATGAGGACTTTAAGAGACAAAACAGATGAACATAAGGGAAGGGAAGCAAAAATAATATAATAACAGGGAGGGGGACAAAACATAAGAGACTCTTAAATATGGAGAACAAACAGAGGGTTACTGGAGGGGCTGTGGGAGGGGGAATGGGCTAAATGGGTACGGGGAGCTAAGGAATCTACTCCTGAAATCATTGTTGCACTACATGCTAACTAATTTGGATGTAAATTTTAAAAAGTACAAAATAAAACAATAAAAAAAAAAAAAGACCCTCCCCCTGAGGTTGTCATAATGTAATACAAATCTTAAAGGTGTAAGCAAACATTTTAGTTAGATAGTAGTTATTATAGGACTTCCTGGGAAACGAGCTCTCACTCTACTGTTTCTAAAGAGGCTCCACCCCAGGAGCCCAATGTGGGGCTCAAACTCAAGACCCCAAGATCAAGACCTGAGCTGAGATCAAGCTCAACCCATTGAACCGCCCAAGAACCCCTGTGCGCACTGAATTTTCTGCCTGGGATTTCTTGCTTTCCTTTAAAAAAAACAAAAACAAAAACAAAAACAAAAACAAAAACAAAAACAAAACAAAACCAAAAACAAAACCAGTTAGATCTGGAAAAGAATTAGGCTTGTTAGAAGTGCCACTTTTTATTTTTTATTTATTTATTTATTAAAAAAAAATTTTTTTTTTTCAACGTTTATTTATTTTTGGGATAGAGAGAGACAGAGCATGAACGGGGGAGGGGCAGAGAGAGAGGGAGACACAGAATGGGAAACAGGCTCCAGGCTCTGAGCCATCAGCCCAGAGCCTGACGCGGGGCTCGAACTCACGGAGCGCGAGATCATGACCTGGCTGAAGTCGGATGCTTAACCGACTGCGCCACCCAGGCGCCCCAGAAGTGCCACTTTTTAAATTAAATTACTCAAAATAACCCAATTTGCTTAAATGAAATTAAAATATTCTGTATTGGACTAAATGGCACTAAATCTCTGTCATTCATACCCAGGGGGTGTACAATATTATATAATTAATGGTATTCTAGCTCTGTCAGTGATTTTTAAACTTAATTAAAATGGACTGAATCTTTTAAAAGAGAAACTCCCATGACTGCCACTGGTGAGAAATGACTTTCATTAAGCTACGTAAATATGCATGAATCTAAATTTAGAAAATGCTGTCTGCAGAGTTTAGAAGAGCTCTAAAATCAAAACGTATATAAATATACAAACTAAACACCAAGAAGATTACACAACCAATAACATTTAAACTACCAACATGAATTTAATGTGATGGCTGTTACTTTACAGAACTGGTGTGATGCTAAAAGCATAAACACGGCACTAAGGGCACCGAGCAGCGCCTTTAAACCTGTCATGCCCCGCACGATGGCTCAGTGTCATATGGGCAACGCTAGCACCTGCTGGCCACCTCTGTGGCGCCGCGGCTCCACACGGCCGCAGCAAGGACCCCGCGCACTGGCACAGTCCGCATGGAGGCACTTTGCCAGGAGGGGGTCATCTGGCCGATGCAGAACTTACTTAGTAAATGTTCAGATCAAACTCGGAAACTATGATACATGCTTCGCAGCCCCGAAGAGCCCACCTCAGACTCTCTGTCTGCAACACGCTTACATCTCTCCCGCTGCCACTAAGGGGCCAGAGAGGAACTGGAAAGGCGTCCGTCCACAAGGCAATGGTGGTGAGCAGGCTCTGACAGACAGGTGATGGCGAGGGGTGGCAGGCGTGGTGGTGACCGTCTTTTTTTTTTTTCCTTTTCCTTTTTTTTCCAGAGAGGGAGAGAGACAGAGCGCAAGCAGGGGGAGAGGCAGAGAGAGAGGGAGACACAGGATGGAAGCAGGCTCCAGGCTCCGAGCTGTCAGCACAGAGCCCGCCGTGGGGCTCCAACTTATGAGCCGTGAGATCACGACCCGAGCCGAAGTGGGACGCTTAACCGACTGAGCCACCCAGGCACCCGACAGTCTTTTTTTCTTTTTAGATCCAAGTTAGTGAACATGTAGTGTAATAATGGTCTCAGTAGAATTTAGTGATTCATCACTTACATATGGCGCCCAGTGCTCATCCCAACAAGTGCCCTCCTCAATGCCCATCACCCATTCAGCCCATCCCCCACCCACCCAACACCTTTCTAGCAACGCTCAGTTTGTTCTCTGTATCAAAGAGTCTCTTACACTTTGGTGGGGATGGTCTAAGTGTGCACAGGAGGCCAAGGTCCCAATGTGCTGAGGGCCTCAGCCAGGCTCCACACCGGACCCTGGGCACAGAGATGGCAGAAGGTCTTGTACTGAACCGCTGGGTCCCCAAGCTTGTGCCCATCCCGTCAGGTGGCGACTCCCGCCCCCTTCCTGATCTCCGAACGCTAGCTGCCAGGAGTGAAGTCCCCACCCTCCCTGGGCCTCCTCTCCAAAGTGACAAATCAAGGGACAAACGTCCTGAAGCTTCAAAAGCCCACAGGGCCCGACAGAAAGATCAGCCCCAGGAAGCCCTCCGGCTGGAAAGCCCATCTCGCACAGGACTAGCTGCTGGCTCTGCAAGCGGCTCCAGACTAAACATGAACCGACAGCTCGGGACCTGCAGACAGGGGAGAAAGCGGCCAAAACAAGGGGGCTGGGGGAAAGGGGGACAGCGCTTCAACCAAACCAACAAAACCAACAAAACCTCAAGGAAATGACACTTTACGCCCTCGGGGAGTTAACAGTTAATGCCTGCTAACAGGAGTGACATCACCAGTGTCAGCTGAGTGCCTGCGAGGTGCCAGGTGGTATTCTAACTGAGCACAGCCCTGCATTTAGCCAGTGAACCTCCCACACCTATGAAGCAGGGCTCCCATCACCCCCGTGATGGAGAGAAGTGGGCGCTGGATGCTGTATGCAGCTCACCCACACTGGCAGCCCCAGCCACTAATCGGGGGGCAGCAGGGCGCCCCTACGTCCGGCAGGGTCCCTAGAGGATGAGCTGCGTGCTACCTCGAGAAAGGAAAACCAGCCAGTGTGTTTTGAAATTCAAACGCTAATAACAATTTTAAAGCTCAACACCTCTTCCAAAGCCT